TGTTCAGTGCTATCCATCCCCATTGTGTCCGGGGTGCCATAGTGGTTTTGAAATACATAATGATTTCTTGCAACCACTTGGTTAAGGCCTGTTTGTCTTCATTCCATTTAGGGGGTTTCATGCCCTGACTGTTCATCTTAGGCATGTTCATGCTCACCTGAGCTTCCCTTCCGGGTTGATAATACACTGGCGCATAAGGAACTTCTTGCGCCGCTGCCAAATAGGCTTGTCCGGTGTACCCCGGTCCTAGGGGATCATACCCCTCCGGAGGCGGGGGAGGCCCCATGTCCACCCGATGTGGTTCAACAACCTCGCCTTCTTCTATCCCAAATAGGAGTTCCTCATGTGGAGGCTCCTGGGTTTGGAAGTGGCTGGGCGGATGATCGTATACCCTATCGTAACCTCCCGATCCCTCAGGATGGGATGTTCCACTGTATACGAGTGCTGGGAACGCCTCTTGCCTTGGGGCGATCTCCGCCTGTGGGGCTCTTCTGGACTGATGTGCCCTCCCGGGCTGCGCCGTCATGCCCGGCTGTGTTGCCATCCCTGGCTGATAATACTGAACTGGCGGGTACCTAGCAGGCTCCGGCGCAAATGGAGACATCTCCTGCAGCCTCTGAATCTTCTGCTGCGTTGTTTGCACTGGAGGCTGTGTCACCCGCTGTTCCGCCTGCCCCATCGTATACACTAGGGTCACAGAATCTTTCCCACGGCCGTGGGAAGAGCGTGGGAGACCGTGGGACGGGCGTGTCGGCCCACGTGGGCCCACGTGGGCCCACGGCCTCCCCACGGCTTCCCCACGGCCTCCCACGGCCTTCCCACGACCAGGCGGCCCACGTGGGACATAGTGGGAGTGGCGTTGAAATGCAGTAACGTGGGCCCACGCCCCACGGTGCCACCAACGGCATCCCACGCCGTGGGAGGGGGTGGGCCGCCCCACGTATGGGACCGCCACGGGGGGCTGCGTGGGAGCGTGTGGAGCGGCCGACGTGGATACCTGTGGGGTACCCCACGGCCAGCGGCGTGGGGCGGCGTGGGTCCACCCACGCCTGGGTCATCGCGGGACGCCGTGGGGTTGCGCGAGGCGGCCCGCACGTGGGAAGCCATGTGGTGTGGGAATACCCACGGTTGACGCCGTGGGGTGGTCGTTGGCACGCGTTGACATTGGCCCAGGTTGCCGTGGAGGGAGTGGGGCGCCCTGCGGGTGGGGTGTGTGGGAAGTTGTGGGAAGCTGTGGGAAGTTGTGGGAAGCTGTGGTGCAGCGTGGGATGCGTGTGGGGTTTGCCCCGCGTGGGGCGCCGTGGAGAGAGTGGGGAGCGCCATGCTTTGCAGGCCGTGGGCAGTTGTGGGTGATGGGCGTGGGCAATTGTGGGCGCGGAATCTGGGCGATGGCCGCGTCGCGCTGGGGGTGCATCGTTGAGAGCGGACACTGGGATGTCTTGGTTCCATTCTCTGCAGTGGCGATCTGATGTTGTCGTTGCTTTGTGCTTGTATGGGAGGTGCGCGTTGCAGAGGGACTTAGCCGATGCAGACCAGGCAGCCACAAAGACCATCGAGGATCTGTAAGAACACACACACACATTCTCAGGGTCTCAGGGTCGCCTGCAGGATATCACTCGAGAAATACAAACCCCCACCTACAAGACAACACACACCAAATGTCAGGCCCAGCTGCAAGACAACACAAACAAAATGTTAGGCCCAGCTGCAAGACAACACACACAAAATGTCAGGACCACCTGCAAGGCAGCACACACAAAAACTCAGGCCCACCTGCATCACAGCACACATTGCCTCAGCACGGCTGGCCGGGGCTGGCGCACTCGGAAGGTGGCGCCGACATCTCGGCTCGGCTCGGCTCGGCTCGGCTCCGCTCCAGGTACAGGATCATCTGCCGCCGTTGACCAAGTTGTCAAACGCCACCTGCCGCTCATCAGGCTGGCTCCTCACGGCCATCAGGCCGCTGGCCAAGGCTGGCGCGCTCGGAAGGTGGCGCTGCCATCTCGGCTCCCCTCGGCTCAACTTACAGGGAGATCTCTTCCACGCCGTCCTCCCTTGACGCCACCGTTGGGCATGCCTTCGAACGCCACCCTGCTGCTCAACAGGCTGGCTAATAATGGCCATCCGGCGACTGGCCGAGGCAGGCGCGCTCGGCAGATGGAGCCGCCATCTCGGTCAAGTCGGGTTGGGTCGGCTTGGCTCGGCTTGGGTCGGCTCGGCATGGCTCCAGAGGGGTCGGGTTGGGTTGGCTGGCTTGGGTTGTGGATCTCAGTTGTACCTGTCGCATTTCGTTTTCGCCGATTCTGTCATTTACTAAGATGTTGCTGTGTTGGCTAGGTCTAGGGCAGACATCCCGAGTGGCGGCCCACTTGAACACCAAGGCCGGCACTGGCGGACTGCAGCTGCAAATGCAAGCAACAGGGCGAGCGGCTTCCCTTGTCAGCAGACTCGACACCCAGTATTGTAAAATGTAATGAGCGATTGCCATCATTCTGTGCTACAGTGTTTCTTGTGTAAACAAGACAACTGCCTCAGTCTGACCTGTCAGGACAGGTGCTATTGCTATCTCACCACTGGCTTACATCGACGCTGCTTTGCACAAGGCAACCTGCATCATCAACATCAATGCCATCTCTATTTCATGGCCCACGCATATCTGTCACTAGGCCTTGGCTTCCACTCTATACCCATCTGCCCAACTCATGACTGCCACTGCTCATCTCTTCGAAGAGAATTCTCCACTGCATAATGCAAAGTACTTGGAGACATCACCTCGTCGAGATTCCCGCTCATCATCGCTGCAATGCAGTGCACAAAAGACGCAGTGAATAGCAAAGACAACCAACGTACAAGTAGCTAAGTGAAATCGAAATGAACACCATGATTGTATGCTAACAGAATGAACCAGCATCTTTGCACATAACTACAAACCAGTACCCAACAGGCTATGCAAGTTGTGGGGTTATCTTGTTGTTGGCAGAAGTCTGAGACAACATGTGGGTTGGGCATGGATGCAGTGCCCCAGCAAGTGCACCCCAGACAGTACTATGTTTGCCAGGAGTAATCAATATACTCGATAGCCCTGCCACTCATTTCAATTGAGGCCCAGTCCACAGATCACAACAGGCCCATTCCAACGACACAACTTACTTTCTGCCAAAAGCCGATGAAATGTGACGGGCACAATAACAGCAACAACAATTTCTGCACAAAGGCCACAGTGTCTTGCTGTGAGAGTTCACATAGCAGTGCAATGGGCCTGTTGACCATACCTTACCACCCAGCGCCTCTTGTCCCAGCATGCTCTGGGCTTGGCCACTGAGCTGCTATAACAACTTGTCAGGCAGGAGCCCCGTGTCCACAATCTTTACCCACTGGCCCCTGCCAAACTTCATGAAGCCCAGCTTCAGCACCTTGGCTTCCTCTGGCATCAATCCAGGGGTTGCAGTGTGTTTCCATCTGCAGCAAGCCAGTAGAGACACCAGTCAAAAAGTGCCCTTCGCAACACCATTGCTGCCTTGTTTTGTCCATGGAACTAAAGCATGCACTCAAGGATTCCTTTCATCAGGGCATGTGACTTGCTTTGCTTGGGCCTGATGTAATTTAAGGAGTCATCTCATCAAAATAGTGCTGTTGTTCAATGGACTGCCTGCAGGGCACCATGATAGCAAGAAAGTGATGGGTGCAGGGGTCCGGGTGCGGTGTGGTGGGGGGGTGAGCACCACCAAATGGTATATGATGTGCTGCCTGGCCCAATAGTGTGGGCGTTTGCATTTGCTGGCAGGCTGGCCTGAAGGAACGTTCAGTCTCAGCAAACTCGTGCAGTGGGCAAAACCAGTTTTCACGCAGGTCTGTGTGACGGAGAAGATATGACAAAATTTTCGAGACATCTTCGAGTAGCGATGAAGATGGGTGCGAGGAACACAAGGATCCAACATTTCACAAGCCTCAAGGAACATCCCAAGCTCAAGAGCATGAAGTAATGTTTGCATGTTTGGCATAGCAACAATTCGCTGCATGCCCCTTCTTGTATAGAGAGAACATACAACAGCATAAGATATCATATAGTACAAATCGCAAGTACACAAACAAACGTCACAATTGGTACACAACATCAATGCTATTACATTACAAGTCAAAACCATAAGTTGTGGATGCCATGCAAATTCCAACTTCCCACAACAAAGTGTGGCCCCAGATCTCACCTGCCCACCATGCAACTCTGGATGCAAGCACATTCCCACTTCATATGTTTGCTGCAGCACAGTACAACAACACAGAGTCAGCTGACTCTCCTGCAGGAGATGTGGCTGGAGGATATTGCCACACCACCCATATCTCAACACCAAAGCTGTCATGCACAGAACTGACAATGCACAAAGCCAGCCTATGCCACAACCACACCAATTCCACAGAAAAGATAAAGCAGCTGCCAGAAGCAGCAGCCCAGCCTTGCCTGTCGATTGTTATCTTTGAGCATTGGTATGTTCCAGGCCCTCAAAAGTATTCAGCATCAGCGGAACCAACTATTCATGAAGCTGTGATCTTTGCTGACTTGAGTTCGCTGACAATAACTTATCACAATCCTGATCTGTGAGATGATCTTTATTTTCACTTGTTCAGTGCTTAGCCATCCACAAACCAGATATGCAACGGTTATGCACAGGGCAATCAATGCTCGGATAGAGGCCATGGCTAAATGCTCGCCAAATCAACACTTAGGGACATTGTTAGCCAAGGTGGTGCATTCTACTCAGTCATGTGCCAGCAGAGCCAGACTATCTTTTTTGCCACTTGCCTGACTGATCGCGCAGGTGTCCAGACTAGCTTTAACACATATGAAGGGAGCACACAGCCCACCTACGAATCCTTGCACACCACTTTGACCACCCCAGGCTTTTGAACGCAGGCCGCTACAACATGGAAGGTGCAAAGCTGGACCACCAGGCCCCAAATGGCAAAATGTTCATGCATTTACTTCACTGTCCCACACATGATTGTCATGTTAGGGGCAGGGCAATATGAGACGTGGCCCCATAGAAGGCCGTTTGGCCAATGCTGTTCCTGACGACACAAACGCGGTCCAGCAGCACGGCCTCCGACATCACGCGCGTCTCCTCGAACAGCCCACTTTGCTTATGCTCGAGGCCGGTGCACACGATCACCAAGGCCCCCCGCGTCTGATGCCCAGCGGCTGGCTTTGCGAGCTCGAAAAAATCGCACGCCCCCTTCCCCGTCAGTGCCCGTTGCGGCAGGCCAACGAAACTCATGTGCCGCCCACCAATCCCAAGGCGCACCCCGGCAAATCCTTCCCCGCCACCCAGCGCGGGCGCACGCCCCTGCGCCATAGGCCCCGAGCCCTTCACGATCGACTCAACCACGGCGCGAGCGGGGCACTGATTTCTCCAACCGCATCCACCCCCTGTGGCAGCGCCTGCGGGCACAAGGACCAAGGCCAGCCGTTGGCGTGCTTTCCTTGCAGCAGGAAAATCAGGAGGCACGCCCTAGGCGCCAAGGGCCCCTTGGGGCAAGCGCGGAGCGCCATGGGGAGCCGTGGGGCGGCGTGGGGGCCCGTGGGGGGCCGTGTGGGGACCGTGGGGGTCGTGGGGTGTGGGACTGCGTGGGCCTCCGTGGCACCCCCAACCCCGTGGGGGATCATTCCCCCGCGTGGGAGCCGTGGGGTGTGCAACTGCGTGGGCCTCTGTGGCGCGTCCCCCGCGTGGGGGATCATTCCCTCGCGTGGGAGCCGTGGGGTGTATGATAGCGTGGGGCTTCGTGGCAGCCCCCGCGCGTGGGGGGGTGATTGTGCACGTGGGGCAGCGTGGCTGCATCCCCACGTGGGCCCAACGCGGGCCCGTGTGGGACATCCCACGCCGTGGGTGCATTTTTACGCCACCCCACGGTGCCCCACGGCGTGGGACGTGGGCCCACGCGGGACCACGTGGGAAGTCCCACGATTCTGTAACCCTAGTGATAAGGCCTCACCGGTTGTCTTGGCGCCAATTCAGGCTGAGCCACTGGACGAACCGGTCTGGAGGGACCTGCTTGCTTTGATGGTCCCGGGGGCATTTGAGCTGGTCCCTCTTCGGGGACTTTGCGGCCAGTTCTTTGGATGGCCTCCCACTCCGTGGCTACTTCATGACCCTCTGGCATGTATATGCCCAGTGCCGACGACTGAGCATCAAAGAGGTTTCGCAGTTTCATTGGTATATGTTGTAGGGCGTCCCGTGGGACTTGTGCACGGTAGGGGGCATGGCCCCCTCGGGGGTGATAATACCCCTTAAAGTACACCCCCCCATGAGGGTCATGGAATGCACCCAAAGTATCCCAGAATCCCCTCCTGTCCTGAATGACAGGGGTATGTATTACTGGGGCTGATCTGGGAACTTCGTGCGGCACCTTTGCCTGACCACGTTGTTCTGCCGCCTTTTGTTGGGCACGGCGCTCCTGGTAGCCAGGTCCCGGCAGCGCCGGTTTATACTGCAGTTCCTGCCGTCCCTTTGAGGCTTGCTTCGCCTCTTGCAGCTCCAGATATGCTGCATAGTCTTCATCCCCATCAAGGAACGAAGCTGCGCAGCTTTCTCTGCATCCGCCTTTGCTTGCTGCAAAGCGGCTTCCTGCTTCTGCAGGACCTCATAGGTCTCCCATCTTTCCCGGGGAATTGGACTGGCAGGTTCACCTGCTGAACCGAGATACACAATCTCATCGTTACCAGCAGAATCACCAACTTCTGCACGGTTACGCATCTGTGTATTCTTCACTGGTTTCAGCAAGGGCAATTCAACAGGAATGTTACCTGTGGTTGGCCTTTGTAGGCTTTTGGATCTCTCCTTAGCCTTATCAGGCTGATCTCTCGCCTTCATAGGCGGGTCTTTCTCCTCTACAGGCGAGTCCTTCGCCTTTGCCTTTCCAGGCTGGGACTCCTTCCCTAGCATCTTCTCTGCCTTGGGACCGCTGGTCACCACAACTGATGGCGACGCCTGCTCCGGTTGGGTGGAGACAAAGCGAGCAGGGTGGTTCACCCCACTGTCACTGCCGCTACTGTCCTGCTGATCAGCCCAGCGTTTGGAGGTCCCCTCCTTCATAGCAATTCGGGCGAAGGCCTTGGCCTGCTCAGCCGGATCCAGCTCATCGGCCAGTGGCGTAACCAGAGGTGGGCCGTCCAGGAACGGGGACGGACTAGGAACGGGGATGGGAACGGGAAGGGGGACGGACCGGAGTCCGTCCCCGTCCTTGGGCCGGCCAGATTTGGGACGGATTTGGGACGGACTGGAACGGACTGGAACGGGTCCGTTCCTGACCCAGGAACGGACCTAGGAACGGGTCCGTTCCTAGGGTAGGAACGGTGTCCGTTCCCGTCCCAGGAACGGACCCGTCCCTGGGACGGGAACGGACTCCGTTGCCATTCCCATTCCTACCAACTTTGGACGGGCCCACCTTTGGGCGTAACCTCTAGGCGTTGCGCCTTTTGGCTGCCTCCTGCGGAGAAAAACCGCTTGATCTCAGCCTTGCGCTGGCGTTTGTGAGCTCGTTTACGCTCATACTTTTTGGGATTCAATTGACGATCCTGCTCACGTCGCAGCGCTTTCAACTCTCTCCGCTGTTTGGCCTTTCTGGCCTTTTGCTCGTCCAGTTTGTTGGCACGAGCGAACCAATCTTGGTTCCGCATGCGTCGTCTCTCCTTCTCCATTCTGTGCACTTGTGCGCGGGTGGACATGTCTCCCGGCATTGGAGATGCACAAGAAGAGAACGACAACTCCGAGATCTCCTCCCACCGTTCGTGGGGATCGTTGGGGTCCGGTCTCTCTGGACTCCCCTCGCTCAAGTCCCATGGTTCCGGGATATGCCTGAGCGCAAAGGCCATCTTTTCTGGCCAATTTGGGTCCTCTTTGGCAATTTGATCTGCCATTCGAGGACCATACCACCTTTGTATTCTAACCAGTCTGGCGGTGGTTAACCTTTCTCCAAACTGGTCGGCGGCCATCCGCCATCCCTCGTCAAGCTCATCGACAAGATCGCTGTGGAACTTTGTCCACATTGCACGGCACGGTGGTTGCCGGCTATATGGATCTCGAGTGTCTGGAACGAACTCCAGCACCCTTGAGCTTTCACCAGGCCCCCACTCTGGTAACGCGGGCCTCCGAGGGCTCCAGTTATGGCCTCCCGGCCTTGGCGGACGTTTTCCGCATACTGCTTGAGCGCTTTCCGTGAGCGACTCATCTCCCGTCCCGTCCGATCCACTAGGTGTTCTAATGTGCACCTGGGATTTGAGCCGCAGCTCCGGGATCTTGACCTTCCGGCCTTTTACTTTCTCAAAGCGCCCTAAGGCTTTGGCCTCCCGGCCTTTGTATGGCGATTCCTCACGTCCCATCAGCCGCTCACCTGGCGATGGGCTCTTCCGCTTTGGCCGCTGTCTACCGGCAACCTTCCAGTCGCCCTCGGCTTCTGGAATGGTTGGCATGGGTAGTTCCGATGGGCTTGGGGCCCTCACGACCTTTGCCGCCTGTTGGGCGCTTCTCTCTTCTGCCTCCTGGGCCCGCTGCTTTTGCTTCAGGAGGCGGTCGCTCAACGCCTTGACTTGGTCTTCGGCGGAGGTTTTGGCTTCTTGTGCCTCGCGGCTTTGCTGCTTCGCCTTCTTCATGGCCACCTCCTTTTCCCGAGCTTCTTTCTTGGCCTTGTTGACGGCGATTTCCAGCGAGGCAATTCTCTCCGCGGTGTCTTCGTCCCGCTTCTCCCTCGCCTTCTTGGCAGCAGCATCCGCCACTTGTTCCAAGAGCTCCATGATACCAGGGGTCTGCAGCAGCGCCGCCATGGTCCCTTGATCTTGCTCTTGTTTCTTCTCCGCCGCCGGTGGGGCACTCGCTTCCCCCATCGGTTCATCTTCCTCTGCGGGTGGCGGAGTGGCTGTGGAGGGTCCAGCCGTGTCCTCCCGGACTGTTTCACCTCCGTGCCCATCCCGGGCTTTAACTTCACCAACCGAAGTTGGTGTCCCCTCCCGGGGTGTGTCAACCTCTCCCGACGTGTCGGGGGTGCCCTTGCGGGCAGAACTGTCTGATTCCTCGGCCTCCATGGTGGAGGCCGGGGAGGGAGCCCGTTGCTCCGCGCTTGCGCGTCCGCCCAGGCGGAAGCGTGGTAGCCACCCTCAGGTGGCTCCGAAACCAAATGATACGAAAAGACTATGGGTGTGGGGTTCCTGCCCTCTTTGAGCCACGGACCCGCCTCGCCGGGCACCTAGGTCCTTACGGGGACCTAGGCGGGACCACCCCTCCTACTCCCATATCCATATAAGTATAATGGTTACTGCAGGACAAGGAATATAATACGATCTTGGGCAGGGCGTCCCCCACACCAAGGGCCAGTAGTAGGGCGTCCCCTACATCAGGCCGGTGCGCGTAACAGGATTGGTGTGGGGCCCGAGAGGGGGCACCCACTAGAGGTGGCCACTCAAAGGTGCCATCCGGTCCGTTAAATCCGGTTCGTTAGTTTTTATCAGCTGTCCGTTAAATTTCGTTAAAGAAAAAGGGAGAAAAATTCAGAAAAAACGAAAAAAATCCAAAAAAATCGAAAAAACCCCAAAAAATCACAACAACTGCGGCTAGTTGAAAATCTAGTATACAGAGGTTGAAATAAAATACAAACATACTCTCTAATAGCGAATTCCATAAACTATAAGTATGACTAAAACCCAAAAATTCCCCAAAAATCCAAAAATCCGCTAATTTTTGGTTAATTTTTGTCTTTTTTCGTTATTTTTCGTTAATTAACGGAAAATTAACGAAAATTAACCTCTATCCGCTATTAACGGATCTGGGTGGCCACCTCTAGCACCCACACCCCAAACACTCCCTCCTAAATACCCCCGCCAGCTCCAAAGGCACTACACTTCAGTGACCCTCGGATACTCAAATAGACACTTCAAGAAAGAGGCCCCAGTACCCTTTATACTTCTCAGAACTTCCCACTGACATTCACCAAGTTGACCCTTTCCAAAGGGTCACACAATACAACCAAAAAAGTCACTTTTTGACCACTACAACTTGAATCAACACCCATCAGCGCCCCTTGGCAGTACTCCCATCAGGATGTACTGCTGTACATCCTCTTCCCACTCAGCTGCGAAGAACTAATTGCAGTAGGTTCCTGAAACATCAAATTAGGGGGAGTACTCCCCCTATTCAAACAAAAAATACATCTAATGCACTTTTCATCCCATGTACACCCATCACACCCCACAGTTCCGTAGTATGTATTGTCCCCTAGCTGTCTAACCCATTCCACCTCATTCTCCCCCATGTACGACATACGGGCCCTCAACTATAACCCCTGCATCATCCAACTTCCTTCCGGGCCCGGCAGCTCTACCTCCCACTCAGTCGTTATGTAACCTTTCCAACGTGATGCCGCCACCACGCGCTAGGACGCCCGACCCGCCCGCTCCAGCATCCCCACCGGTAGGCCTCCGTCCCCCTCGGCGAGGCCGCCCACACAGCACTCGCCCGCCCATGTGAACGGCACCGGAGGCTTGTCCGGGCAGTCGAGGTCGGCGGCCACTCAAGCATCCTTTTCCGCGATGCCCCACTAGACGTGGCCGCTCAGATTTTTTTCTATTATTTTACTTCTGTATTTTTTTTCAAGACAAAAAATCCGTCCGTCACTTTTCTGTTGTTTTGCCGGGGCCGGTTTTTTGTAACCATTCATGCCACGTCAGCTTCTAGTTTTTTGGCTCTGGACCTGTCCGTCAAGGGGGTGTTTGCAGCCACCAATTTCTGTAAAGATGTTTTTTTTCCGTTACCTTTCCTGGCATTCCGTTGCCATCCGTCATGGACTTTGAGATTCTGGAAGCTTGTCACGAATGGAGGCGTGGTCATGACGCCCAGGAAAGCTGGATGTGCCTTGACAAAGTGCCGCCCGATATGCCATTCAGCTATTTTCCATTCTTCAATTGACTCGATTGGCAAATTATTAATACTTAGCTCAGGCCCTTCCCGGCAGTGATCGCTGCCGGTACTCGGCCATAGGCAGCACACACACAGGACACATCATCACGGCGTACTATAAATCATAAGTGCGGGCCCTTCCCGGCAGCGATCGCTGCCAATACTTGGCTGGAGGCAGCACACACACAGAACACATTATCATGGCGTACTATAAATCATAAGTGGGGGCCCTTCCCAGCAGCGATCGCTGCCGGTACTTGGCTGGAGGCAGCACACACACAGAACACATCATCACGGCATACTATAAATCATAAGTGCAGGCCCTTCCCGGCAGCGATTGCCATCGATTTTTTATGGAATTCTGTCGACCTTTGTGGTCCGGTCAGCGGCTCTGTTGCGGGGGCCTATCATCCGTAGACGGCGGCGCAAATTCTGTAACACATGGTTCCATTCTGTAAGGATGTGTGGATTTCTGTAGCTGTCTATGCTGACGTCAGTATGGCCCTACCCGTTTCTGTAAAACGCTTTTTTTCTCTGTGGCACCCTCATAAATTCTGTTGATTGTACAGAATTTTAATGGAGCCAAACAAATTCTGTTGGGGACGGACAGATGGGGCCACCTCTATGCCCCACACTGTACCGCACTAACCGGTACCCGGGGGTATCGACAACCCCCTACAGTAACCGGCCCAAGAGAGCTACGGTTACGATAGTGTAGGGGTTAGAATGCTTAGACCGGCACTAGGGCGGTGGCCACCGGTACCTGGGGTACCCCCAGATACCGGCGCTCGGGTGTGGCCCCAAGTACGTAGTACTTGGGGTCCGGTGCTGGGTCCCGGCTTAATGGCCTTCGAGCGCCCACACCAGTAGCTCTCTTTCACCCCCTGTTCCGCGCTACTGCGCAACACACACGCCCTCGCCATGCCAATTCGCGGCATAGACGCTCCGCCGGAGCCGATTGCCCAACCGCACGTTGGGGATCGCCGCGACCCAGTAAGCTTTGACGGCAAACAAAAGGCCGTTCAGATGCCTTACTCACCACCGAATCGAGGCGTCAAAAGCCGAGTGGATCCAAAGATGGGGCGTTCCGGGTCCGGAGGCCAAGGCCCATGCCTCCGCTCCACCAAGCCCATTGCGGCACGCAAGGACTACCTTGCCCGCTTCGTCCAGGCCAACCAAAGGCTCCCCCGGGCCCCTTCGTCCCTGCGTGCATGGATCCACAAATATCCCCAGAGGGAGAGAAAGCACCGCTCCGGTATAGAGCATGGGGGAACCGGAGGGTCCGCCCGCACCGAACGGGAGCGCGTTCGACCCGCCTGCCGAACGTGGGGAGGCTCCGGCCATGGCGAGGGAGGGCTTCCGACGGTCCCTGCAGGGTCGGGGAGGCTGGGGTGTTGCGGCGCGCCGAGGAGACCGGGCACAACGGGCGTAGGCGGGGCGCAGGCGCAACCCGCGCGGACCAGATGCAGGAGGGCGCGGTCACCTCCGACATACGGTACATTACACAAAATGTCAAAAAGGTGGTCTCCCGTACGGGTGCAAAACCACAAAGTACTGTTAGCAGCCGCACACAACGTCCCATCACGCCTCACTGGACCCCTATACCCTGCCAGTACTTGTCCTGTCAAGGTCCTAGGACCTTTTACAAAAGTTCAGGTCCATTCAAGGACACCCCGTATGGTTCATGGTCTCCTCAAAACGGGTCAGAAATTGGCCGTTTTTCCTTCCAAAAGTCACTCAAGAGGTTCTTACAAACCGGCCAGCCTCTCACTCAGGGACCCTCACCACACGCCCTGCACATGCTGTGCCTCTTTGTCCCCGGCTAATAGTACTGGAAAATCTACCATAATCGCATACTAAACCCAATTCTGTACATCCCAAATCCATCACTAAAAAATGTATTGTATCCTGTCAGCCCGTGGGCCCATCCAGCTCGTTTTGGCCTCTTTCTTTGGCCAGTTCACAGCCCAGTCACAGCCGTCTGTGCTGCCCGTAGAGTGCCCTTAAATTGACTTCATTGTTGATCATTCTGGACGGCTCTGCTGAGTGACAATGCAAAACAGCGAGATGGAGGATGTCTCAACTGTAAATGCATCGATTCATGTGCACTGGAGAGAAGCTGAGCGTGCACACGTTTGCCTTGAGCATTCAGCAGCTGCAGGACCGCCAAATGTAACCGTATGTCATGCGGTTCAAGGTAGCTTCTTCTGAGCACATTGGCCTTTCCTTTCTCTATGGTTTTCTCTCGATTACAGTGGTGGCCATTTACTTGAGCAGATTGGACTGTAATCGAACACTAGGTAAAAGACCACTGGTACAAAGAACTGCCAAATCCTCAATACTTGGTGAGTTGATTTGAAATTTTGACAGTATGCTCCAAACTTACAAGCACAACTTTGGGCAAAAATTTCATTGAAACCTGATGTAAGTATGATGGAGAAGTTGTGCCCCATAATCATAGAGGACAATTATTTTTGGACGGAGGAAGTAATAAATAGTAACGCAACGTTTGGCATTTTTTGCAGAGCAATGTACAAAATATAAAAAATAACGCTCTGAAAAACAAAATGCGAAGCGAAAGCATAATGGTAAAATTTTCTGATGCAGAAGGGTTGAATGTTTTATGGTATTCGCACCCTGCCTTTCCGTGCGCCAATTTCTGAACTTTGCACCTGTCTTGCAGCGCCGCAGGAGTGTGCACACAGCGATTGGCCATTGGGGACCGTCACGCAGCAAACCATCCAGCGAGGTAGATTTTGAGCGTCCCCTCAGACTCTGCGGCCAGGCTCATGACGGAGCTACGCTTCATTTGCAAATGCAGGAAGATTGTGAGCAACAGCCATGGATGTATTGCATAATCGCCTGGCAATGGCGACTTTCATGTGTCATCAAGGTCCGCAATTGTGTGTGTGTGTGGGGGTGGGGGGGGTGGGGGGCTTCTCTGCTGTTTATGAGGACACCAGCAGTTGACACCACGATGTCCCATGATGCTAACCATATAAGAAAGTTCGAGTCCACCTGCTCTGTGCTAGCCGAGGGTGTTATCACTGCGTGCCTCCCATCAACAAGTGTGAAACCTCGACAGCAATTATGGCGGCGCCGTGTAGACCACATGCAGGACTGCCAAGAAACAAGCATCAGTGCACCCTTGTTCGTCCTTTTTCTTGCATGTGCCAACACGTTCCCTTCCGCTCTTGCTTTGGGCCCACGCGTACTTTGACATCTACAGATCAGACGATTTCTGCAAGGAAGAGGGGAAACATGTGCGTTCTTGCTGGAGTCCCATTCTTCTGATTGGGGGCTAAAGGGTGTGCGACAACTGTACTGTGCGTGTCCGCCAGCTGATAATGAGCATTTCACACTGCTTCCAGTTGTGCTGCAGTGCAACTTTCTTGACGTTGCTGCAAACATCAACAGGTTCAGTAACAACTAACCAATGTGTGTGCACAGCCGACACAGCCTTGCCTCTTGCATTACGGTCGAGGGTACAGCATCTCTTTTCAAAAGGAGATAACTGGGTGTTTCGGATCAATGCGCTGGCCACCAATAGTGGCGCTGCGCTGATTTACATTTGCGCGATGTGCACAATTTTTGACAAGAAAATTATCAAACCTACTGCCAAGGCAACCAGCAGTCGTGGCCTCCACCATTTGCTTTCAACATCCACATTTGTTGTTACCACTGCATATTGTTCTGTATCCAACTGGCGCCGAGAGCAATCTGCACGCTACGTCATCTCCACTACTTCTATTGCAACTAATACAGCATATGTACAAATTGTGTGTTCAGCGGCCTATAATCCGCGAGACGGCTTCACATCTGTGAATAGAACTGCTGATGCCATCCACTGTATGGAGGGTTCTGAGGGGGCTGCACAACCCACTGCGGGTACTGGTACATTCCTTCACCATTGGGACCCCACGCCATGTACTGAGGAGGAAAGCCAGGACCAGGATACTGTGGGACACCTGCATCCATATAGGCATGGCCTGCAGACAGAAAACAGAGAGAATCCATGAAATGTAACAGAAAAGCGGTGCAGGCAGTGCCATGCTGACAGGACAAAATGCAAGAATGTTCTGTTCCAAGATTCTCAATTATCACAATTTTCCTCACTTGATAACACACCACAAGCAAAAGAGAGAAACGCCATGAGCAAATGGCACCACATACAAGGTCAGCACCAGCAGAATATGCACTGTGGGTTGTTCTTCTTGGTGCTGTGGCAGAAGGTTGTTTATCAGTGTTGTGCAACAGGTCCCTGTTGAGCGTCCTGCACCCATGCAAGGATAGCTTGGCCACCATCTGCATACTCATTTTGCAGCCATTTCGACACAGTGCAGTGAAAGTCAAGACAGCATGTGCAGTGAGAGGAAGAAGTCGAAGGGGATTCTTAATAAGCATCCACAGGCTCACCTCCGGGCTTGGGCTGCATTTGTTGGCCATGCCAGGCTGCATCGGGCACGCCTGGGTAGCCTTGCAGCTGAGCTGAGCGGTAGGAGCCCAGGGGTGGGCCATATGGGTAGTTCGGCAAAGGTGCCGGCTGCTGTGGCCGTGTGCCTGGAGCCATGACATACTGATGTGGCTGTACTGAGGGTCGTTGGTCAGAGGTGAGGGGGGACGTTGAGGCACTCCGCCGCTGCATCTCATGCGCTTCCTGACCAGGCCAAAACGTTCCATAGCCTGCGGCAGCACAAGAAGCAACCATGAACCCAATTCAGTATGATTCACGTTGAGCATCGTCAGGTTTTCTTGATGTCAGGAAATACACCCACGTGGCAACGAGATGGGAAAACTTGTTCCTTTCCCTCAGCCAAAAGCCTGCCGGGAAAGCGGGGAAGCAAGCTTGTGAGTCTGCACTTCTGCCACTGCAACCAACACGCCTCACTTCCAAGGAGCAAGTAATGGGAACCAGCCTGGCTGGGGGTTGTGTCAACTGTCAGGATACTCAAGCTGTGCATCCCCTCGTCAGCACCCACCTACCTTTGGGGGAGGCTGAGTGCACCTGCCTGCTTCTGGCACTTGAGCTGCCACTTTGGGTCGATGACAAAGCTTCCTCCTCCACGCTGACGCCGCTGAACCCCAGGTCCTGCACTCTGCCGATCAGGTCTTCCTCCTGTGCTTCAACCCCAGGCAAACCCTGCAGTAGCCTGCTCTTGTTCACCAGTTCCTGCTTCCTGACGAGGCAGCTCTGGTTCTTTGTCTCCTTCCCAAAAATGCTTCTCCTGCCGACCATTTCATATTGGAACAGCACCTCGAGCCCCTCTGGAAGAATGCCGATCACAATGCCATGGACCCCGAACTGAAGGCTCTCAGTGCCAACGTACACCACCAAGTCTCCGATGGCAAAGTCGCCACCCACATGCTCTGACAAAATGTCGGCTGCAGATGCTGGAATCAAGTCGCAGGCGTTGGCATC